AGCCACTGAGCCCAGATGGGAAAGAGGTGGCGGAGACGGGATATGAGACAGATAGTCCAGTGCTCTCCTCCTTTTCAGGCTTTTGGGATCTTTTTCTGCTGAAGATGTTGGTGTAGGAGACTTCCTGCCGACAGGTGTGAAGGATCCAAGGTTTCTGCCTGGCTTCTGAGAAATCACCTGTATAAAAAGATGATGGGCTTAGAACTGATATATTACCAGATGACATTATGTTATAACAGATATACTGAAAAACACCAGATACCACAGCATGAAGTTAAACTCACACTTGACTTTATGTCTTGTCTTCTGTCTGTTAGAGAAGCTGGTGTTTGTCTTTGGAGAGCTGGAGAGGAGCTGGAGCTAAGGCCATTTGATCTGACTAATTCTGAAAGCTTCTCTTCAGCAGTTACAAAGAAGTTCTCCTGACACTGAAAAGAAAACAAAAGTGATGAAAATGTTAACATTTTATTGCATTCAAATAAGTCTGAGATGAAGATAAACAAGGGAATATGTTAGTACACTACTTTATTACATTTTCTACAAAACAATTTTTAGTACTGAGGAGATTAGCATTGTTTAAAGGTGAACTCAGTGAGCATGACAAAAGAAATGTTACTGCTAGTTTTCGGCATTTGCAATTACAGCTGTGCTTTGATTAAATTATAGCTAACACAAATTACTTCATGCAGATCACGGAGCACTTTTGCTGTGAGAGAGAGCAGTTTCTGAAGAATATCAGCAGCTTTTAAGGTTTTGATTTTAGCATCGTACCTGGACCAGAGTTTTAAGCTGGCTGAAAGATTCCTGTAGATGAACCTCTTTAGGATTTGTAGAAAAACTTGTCAGATCTCCAGCATACACAACAGGCGTGGGATGCATTGACTGACCTCTGAGCTGGAGGTTGCTCAGAGCCAATATGACGCGTGGTTTTACCACGTCTTCTAGGCCAGTCTGAGACAAGCTGCTGAAACAGCGAACTTTCACAAAATTCTGTTTCTCATCAGCCAAATAAAATGCAGGAGATGAACCTGTGTTCAAAAGAAGAAGACTTTTCAGCGAACTTTATGCAAGCAGTTGTAAGAAAAGCAAGGTATAAAACAAACAAACAAACAAACAAACAAAAAAAAAACACCTACCCTTTCCATCTACAACACTGATGACATATCCTGCTAGATCAATTTCTCCACACAGTGGCTCAAAATCTGGATTTTGAAGATTCACAAAATTTGTGCAAACTCTTGGTTGGAAGTATGTTGACAACCATTCATGTGATGCCTGAATGGAAATATTACAAAAGTTTCAATGATATGTTTGATTTATAAACGGTAAAAAAAAAAAAAATCACATGTGCTAAAGGGAGTTTGTTTCCTACAGTACCTGGAGCTCTTGAAATTGTGTTTTCTTTGTCCCAGTGAGCTGAACAGGTTCGATACAGCTGCGTTTCTTTCCATCTGAAGTGGTGAGGTTATAGACTTTGAATCGACAGCCTTCCTTTAGTAAAGACTGTAGATCTGAGGAAGGTCGCCAAAGATTCAGCTGGTAAACTAAAACCAAGATTAAAATAAAAAAAAGTTAGCAAACCGTAGTTCGCAAGTTACAGTAATTATGAAAAAAAAAGAGTCAAACAAGAAGACAAATGAAGACACACCCCTGCCGGGTTGCTCCATGGAGTCGGCAATGCAGAGTCTCCACACGGGTGTAACCTCTCGTTTGGGGCAGTTCATTTCATTGTCCTCTGCTTCCAGAGCACGGTGATATCGATCCTGCAGTTCAGCCTGCTTCTTCTCCATCAGAGAGCGTCTGTAGGTATGAAGGGCCTCCAACTGGTGTGCACTCAAATGAGCCTAAGAGGGGAAAAGTAATATACTAAAACCCTTCACAGCTGAAATTAGGCCAACAATCTGTAAAGCAAATGTTTTACTACCTCAAGGTAAGTCGGATCATCTCCCACTGCTTCATACAGCTCTTCTCCATCCTGCAGATTTGCAATTTCTTGATGACTGATTGTTTTTCTTCGCCGCTGTGGTTTGATACTCCCTAAAGATAAAAGCTTATAAAAAACGTATCGAATTTCAGACTGTAGCAGCTTGTTGAACTTGTTGTAAACCTGATCCTTACCTTTTTCTTCATTTTCAAATTCAGATTGAATCTTGGCAAATAAGATTTCCATTGCTTTTTGTTTGTGACTGTTGTATCGTCTCGCCTCCTTCTCTTCTGCACGTGAAGAACGGAATACAACACTGCCATCTGGCTTCCTCTCCATCCACTGAGAAATACATATTAGACAGAGTTAAAAAGGATAAAACCCAAAAATCTGACTAACAGTGATTATATATCAGTGCACACCTGCATGGGATAGCTTCTCAGTACAACAATGTCAACAGATCCTACTGGACCTCCATTGCTATACAAACAGGAGATTGGAAGGAGGAATGGCCGAGGATCCTTGTGAAATCCTAGCTTAGCATCCCATCGTGCAGGTCTGCAGCTATTGGCACAGATCTAAACACATGAAGAGGAAGTAAGACACCTTCTTTTCTGGTTGTGTTGTGTAGAGATAAAAGTTGTGGTCTCTGTCTTAGACTACCTTTAACATCAGAGATTCAGGCGCCTCCAGAGGGGAGCAAGCATCTTGTGATCCGACCAGCTGAGCCCCATGGATGATCAACTTGCCCCCGACAGCCAGTCGACCTTTGTGAACCATTGCAGTCAAAGGTTCATCCAGCTGAGCTTTAATGGCATACCAACCATCTGTCAGCCAAATGAGTGCAGCTGAAGTTTCAACCTTTGCATCTGCACTGTGAGGGGTTTTGGTGTCATTGTGACTCTGTGTTTTTGGGGAGTGACCCCTGGAGATGATATCGCAAACACAGAGAACCAGGGTTTTGGCTGCCGTGTCATCCTTTTCCATGATCTTTCTCAGAGCTGGCCTGCGGCTGTGGTCCACCTCTACATCATATCTGACATAAACAGAATATGTTTTAGAAAACGCTTCTGTCAGTCTGCCCCAGGGCAGCTGTGGCTA